ACACTCTTGTACGAAACTCTTGTGGGATACTCTTGTAGGACACTCTTGCGGGACACTCTTGTAGAACACTCTTGTGGGACACTCTTGTGGGACACTCTTGTAGGGCACTCTTCGTACGAGACTTCCTCCAAAAGTCACACGTCAAGTCTCCAAAACGAGCGTTTCGTACGAGACTTCCTCCAAAAGTCACATGTCAAGTCTCCAAAATGCGCGCTTCGTACGAGACTTCCTCCAAAAGTCACGTGTCAAGTCTCCAAAACTCCAAAAGTCAAGCGGAAACACCCATCGGAGCACACACATCACGCAGCCCTGCCAAGCAGTTTCGCGAGCCCAGCCCCTCCACACAACACTCGTTCACACGCCAATCCCACTGTGACAGCGACATTCACCTCTACCACAACTCACAACCTCACAATTCCCTGCGCCTGCCACGAATCTTTCCGCATCCACACATCTAACGCGCACAAAGTACTGCGCCTGCCACGAACTGTCACCTCCGTCACTCCTCGCAACCTCACCATTCCCTGCGCCTGCCACGAGAACCGCACTTCCACGCCACACAAAGTACTGCGCCTGCCACGAAAAGTAGCAATATCATCTCATGTCAGCTTCAACAAAATTTGCACCACACCACACGTTTGGAATGATTTCGACCCGTTCTGAGCACACTCCCATCCACCAAAATCGCCATTTCAGCTGAGACTGGTCACGAAAACAGAGCTTCGATGCCACACCCTGAAACGCAAATCCCAATGGCACGGCCACATCCAACACCCCAAAAACACGACTCTCCAAACGCTAATCCCAATGGAACTGCGCAGCAAACTGAGGATCTCACAAAACGCTTCGCCTGTGCAGCGAAATGCATCACGCTTCTTGCGCGACATGTCATTTTCATGCAAATGACAATGGAATAGCGTCGCTAACTGACACGTCACACATCCATGAAAAGTCACCTGCAAAAGCCTCCCCCAATGGCAGCGCCTTAGCGCTCTACTGCGGACACCTGCGAACGGTTGCGGACGGTTGCGGACGGTTGCGGACGGTTGCGAACGGTTGCGGACGGTTGCGAACATAGAAACAACGGGTCGCGAACAAGGCTCTACCCCCAGACCCCCAGAGTTAAACGAGAACCCTTCGCTACGCATTCGGGAACAATCTGAATCCGCTTATCCAACATATCTTTTCCCGAAAACCACTCTCGCACCAGCCTTGGGGTAACCTTGCGCATCTCTTGCACGAACACAGTTCAAACTACGGATTCTGTTCGGGACGTGTTTTTGTGGAGCAATTTGTGCAAAGGAAAACCTCGCATGATTCAGCTATTCAATCAAAAGCATCGTGCCATACCCATCCTACTACCGATCCTACTACCACTGCAACTGTTGTGGGTTTGGGGATGGATCCACCATTTTGCATTTGATCCCTGCTTTGACCTCTTGACCAGCATCCACCCAGTGACTCTCAAAGCCGGGTGAGGCACTGGGTGAGGCGACAGTTCTTCGCCGACGCTCGCCTCCCGGAAGGGCCGCCCCCCAGCTGGACAGCGTACCCACCAAACACAGGAAGCCGCCGTAGCGTCCGATCGCTCCGTTCGTAGCGATGGCCCTTTGCTCCGTTCGTAGCTTCTTCTTCCTAGTAGTAAGGCCAGGAGCCCCGTTCGCAGCGTCCGATCGCTCCTACCTTCATTGGAACTCTGCAGCTCGTTGATCACATGCCCAGTCACCCAAGCTGAGGGCTACAGCCTCAGCCGCCACCAAGAAGAGCCTTTCCGGGATGCTCTTCGCTTGGCAGCAGACAGCACCGAAGGACATCCCCGGGAAGATGTACACGTTGTTCACCTCTTCCAAGCACGCGCTCCCAACGACTCCTCTCTTTGAAAGGTAAGCCTCTTAGCCCTAGCGCTTGAAGGACACATTGAAAATCGTGCTAGAAAATAGGGTAGGACTCTGGTCACCCCATCCAGCGGTAAATCTGACGATTGCCTCCCCTGCAGTTGACTTGCTCCAGCCACTCTACAATTATATAATAATTATCCCAGACACTCCATGTATGCCATATATGCCTACATTGGGGCAATGTAGGCATATATGTCATACATGGGGTGTCTGGATATCAACATCCAGCCCAAACCACACTTCGTTTCTACCCGCGAGTTCCCATTTGGATCCATCCTTGCGACTCCTCGAGAACCGAGCAAAAGCGCGCTGAAACCGCGGTGTCCACTTTTGTTTTGATGTGCATTTATTTTTCAAGAGAGGCCTGCATGAGGCCCGCATTAAAAATGACTGTCACGTTAAGAGTTACTGTAGCAGGACACCTGCCCCGGCGCAAAGCGTTTCCCATTGCACTCCACCGGCGCAAACCTCAGTGGAGCCCAGGATGGGCGGAAACCAAAAACATGGAACGAGAGCGTTGAAAGACATGACTCATGAAGACCAGCAAATCGTTGAGACGGAGTGGCCGAGATTTCTCTCTAGCTCTCTCTCTCTCTCTCGCTCTCTCTCTCTCTCTCTCTCTCGCTCTCTCCCTCTCGCTCTCTCTGGTGAGGTAAGGCTATACACTATTTACAACCATCTTCTTCACGGTAACGATCCAATCACAATGATGCAAACAAGCATCTGTACCAAAAAATGGTGAATCAAATACTGCAAAACGAAATAATCCTGCAGTACCCCACCACCTGCGACTTCCATTCCATTGAACGACATGCCATGATACTGGTCACCCAAATTCTTGAATACAGTAGATGCAAATCAGCACCTGAAACACTTCACACCTGTGTGGAGCGATTTGCTGCACGCGTCTTACGTCCTCAGCAGAAGAACTCGTCCAGTTCGGTTCTGTGCCAGGTGGAATGGATCTTGGTAGCCCAAGAATCTACAGAATTGGCTGTTTAAGAGAATTCTCCTAGTTTGGGTGGGTGAAAGTCGGCAAAAGCAAAAACCTGGTGTCCTGTAGATATGTCCCTTCCCAAAACTCACCACGATCACGGCCGCCCGCGTGCCGGGGCCAGGCGACCACGTGCCAGATCCGAAGATGGCCTTGCCTAGCGGGCTAAACGGCCCAGCGATGGAAGGACAGCGGTGTTTGATGTGTTTGCTTTCCACGCTTCAATGCTGGATCTTGAAGATCTTGGTGACGGTACATGGTGAAGGTGCACCGCGGGTGTGTGGTTGTGTCATCTCCATGCGGTGACAAACTCGTCCCTGACAAGACCTGACGGTTTTGGGTGGCGTTCGCTGCAACCTTGCAGGGTATTGCGGCACTATGTAACCAGATGCTGCAGCAAAAAAAAGAAGGGAGAAAGAGATACCGATCTCTAAAATGGTCCGCATACATCCTTCGGGCACCTTTTCATCGGCTTTCACCTGCCCATGCACCTCTCTCAAACTGCCCGGTCTGCCCGGTCCTGTCACCCTACCCTTACAAAGATTTTGTAAAAAAACTGTTGACCTGTTTTGTAGCGTCAAATCATGTCAAAGTGCAAGACCTCTACTTAAACAATTGGTTCTTCAGTCAAGGCGCTGCTATGTTTCATGCTTGGAACTTGGAAGCCTCTTCCGACTTGTTGCTCCTTCCTCCTCCCGGTCCTGAGAACCCAGCGCCTTCCGACCACTGGTAGCAGTTCTCCGCCGTGATCTCCGCTTGGCTCTTGGGGTTCGACAGCGCAAAGACCACCGGCCGCGCGGTGACCTCCGGGTCGGTCGCCCCCGACTCCGGGCAGCTCAAGCATCTGAGGGGTGAAGGATGGAACACCCGGCTCGCCCATCGGGTGTCGTGGATTGTTGGTGTTGGGGGTCTCTTTCTGAACCACCAGACCTTGATCTGGGTGGTGGGGCGCACCATTTCGACGAAATGCGTGCGCCAGGAACAAGATAGGGAGGCAACTAAGGCCGCACCAACACAAACCCCACACACCTCGGGCTCAGGATCGCTCCGGTTCGACCGGTGTTTTCATCAAAACAAGACCATCCAATGCCGACTTCCAAGACCACCTCAAAATGGTTGACCTGGGTTTTGTAGTGTGTAAAATCCTTCCCCAGGCTTCCTGGACCACCATGAATTTCATAGGCTGAATTCCGAATCAACGACAAGGATTTTCCACTAGAAAAACCAGGTCAACCATGTTTTAATGGTCTTGGAAGTCTAGGGCCTTAGTAAAACAATGGTGCTTCAAAAGTCAGGCTCTTCAATGCATGATGGTCCGACCGTCCTGCATAGCTTCTCGAGACATGCCAGCCGCTGGCTGGTAAGATGCGCAGTCGAAGGGAAAAAGAACTGCACCTCCCATGGTTCTGTGGATGGCCTCCTTTTTGGTCGGACCCTGACATCCGAACACCTGAAATCGGTGGTGCTAATCATTCCGATTTCGGAAGGCTGGATCTGAGATCGTGTCCACGTCGCGTGGTTCTTCCCTGCCCTGGCCCCCAAGGCCCCCTCCCAGATGGAAACCAGCGGCTTTCGTCAAGGCTTGGATCATCGGCTTGGTAAAACCTCGCCGTCACGGCAGGGAGAGGAAGGAGCGCTAAAAAGAAAGGGGCTGGTGAAGCCAAGCCTTGGTTTGGAAGTGGCCTCGTTGTATATTGGAGCCATGGCCATTGCAAAAACACGACTTCTTTACGGCTTTACGGAGGTGTTGAAGACCCAGGTTTGGACCTGGGTCAGACTGGTACTGGGGTATCGGAGTGGGTCATGCAAGTCCAGCGCTACTCATTACTCAAGAAGAAAGAAGGAGAAAAGGAGAACTGGACTTCCAAGGCCGCCGAAAGCTGATGTCCTCAACTGCTAGTCCCAGTGTCAGCTCATCAGCTTGGAACTTCGCAGAAGTTTGGGGAATTACTATGACCCCCCAACCAGCATATATGGAATATTGCGGAACAATTGACCTACAGACCCCTGAAACCCCAATGTAAGTCTAAACATTCCATACCTCACAAGGAGTGTCCCAATCTACACCTCTCTCCCACATTACGCCTAGTTTCAGTGCATCCCAATAACACAACGCCCCAACCGCCGGGACCTTCTTCTACTTCTCCTCGCCGGGCCACAATTGGGAGCCACACCCACGGCGCCCACGACACAGGTGGGCTGCACCTGTTCCACCAGCGTCACCAAATCCTGGTGCCGGTCACGGCGAACCCCACGGCGGCGCCGTGGAGCGCTGCGCTGCGTCGGGGCCAACGGCCAACGGAGGCCAACGGGGCCGCGAGTTCGAAGAAATCGGTGGACCTGCCCAGCGAGAAACAACGACTTCGGCCTTCGGACGGTCGTTCATCAATCCCAGAAAAAGGGAGCTCAAACAAACCACTGAACCCCCGCGCCGCGGCCGAGAAAGAAACCACCTCAAAACCCCATCCGATCCTTGGAGTTGAAGGTGGGCTCGCCCACTTGCGCGAACTCCTTCTGCTCGGCGTTCCGGAAGCTCCCGACGCATCCATCGCTGGAGCGCCAGATGAGGCCACGACTGTTGGTCACGAAGATGGAGGACAAAGGCACACCGGCCTCACAGCCAAGCCAAGGCGCTTTTGGCTTGAAGCATGCGCCAGGAGGATGTGACAGGGGCTCCCCTAACCTCCGTGAATAACACCCCTTTGGAACTGCTGGTGGAAGTCTTCAACGCATGGAGGTCGAGGCCAATGATGTCAATGACAGATGCTTGAGATTAATTTGAATTTGAGTAGGTCAGGTCTTTGATGTAGACTTGCAGACGGTTGATTGATTAAAAGAACACCTCAGAACCACTCTGGAAGTTCCGGTGTTCTTAATCAACCCAGACTGTCATCCAAGTCTTCCACCCAAATCCCCCCAAACGCCCCATGTCACGAACTAGAACGAAGTCTTCGCCGCCCCATGTCGCAGGATGCCGCGCCTCATAGTGCAGGAGCCTCATGAGGCCAATGTTCGCGCTGCCGGCGCCGTGGAAAAGGAACTTCTCCTTCAGCAGGGTCTCCTGGTGCAGGAGCCACAAGGAAGGCGCGGAGAAAAACGCCGTTTCGGTTTGTGTTTCACGCATGTTGGATCGTTTGGGTCGCTTTGGAGCCCGGAAAGTGAGGTTTTGATGGTTTTAGCACGATGAAATAGCACGAAGACAGGTGCCAGGGTGGGAAGAAGAACACGCTCAAAGATGTTTCAAGCTGTTGGGTGTTCCTCACGAGTAACTCTCAGGCCCCTCAGAAACGCCACATACTAATACAACAAAGCCCTTCCATCTGCATCCATCTGCCATACAAACAGATCTCCAACAGGTTGGCCGCCTAAAGCCTCAAGGAACTCCGAGTAATTCAAGTGATTCGTCTGCCTCGCAAAGAGGGATATTGAGGGAGGTGGACCCCCGGCTGGACCGGAGCGCCACTTGATGGAGAAGCTCCCTTGGGGAGGAGGACGTCAAGGCCTCCGTGTGGGTGTCTGAAAGGGAACTTCCTCCCGACCGTGCTGAGGCAGAATAGGATCATCTAATGGGTGTCCAATAGATATCTCTACAGTAAGTAGCGTAGGGTAGTCCAGCCACACCCAGAAAGTCCGGAGAGTCCTGGTAGTCATTCGACTTCGGTCCCGGGGTCCCACATCGCCGATTGACCGTGCTTCCTACATGACACTGCTCTCGTGATGTGCACACCAGGTCACCATTTCCCCGGAACGAACACCGTCCGCGACACCGACACCAACCCCCCATGTTCGCCTCGAACCCGCCACTTCAAGGCTTCGGAAGAAGAAAACGACCCCAAAACGCCGCAGCCGCACGGACCACCAAGTAGTATATATACCGATAGCCACAAGGGTCCAGTCACCCTTGGTCTCGCGAGGGCCCATCGCTCCCCGTCCGGGGGTCCTTGGGGTCGCTGTAGGGGTTCCGCAACTTCATGGCACCCAAAAGCGCCGCCAGGGCCACCGCAGCGGTGCCTGGAGTCGACGAAACCGCCGCGCGCGCCAACCGCCACGCGCACGGATCGGAACCTCCGAAAGGGGCCAGAAGGTTCGGCGAGCGGATCAGTTTACAAGAACCTCTAAAAGTGGCTCAAGGACTTGGGCCTCGAAAGGGGACAGCGCGCATCAAATGCGAGACGTTCGCCCGCGTGATTCGACCCTCGCGTGAACACCGCGTACCTTGGATGTCGTCGTTGTAGCAGAGGAACTGGTCACGATACTGGGCCAGCAGAGGAAAGGCATCGTTGGAGTTGAAGTCCTGGCAGAAGACCGACTTGAAGACCCGTCATTCTGTAGATGGCATTTAGGCGGCAACTTAAGTTCGGCGACATATGAGCGGTGTTCAAAACCAAAGTACGATTCTTTTCTACTAACACAAGTCTTTCGCATAAGCTTACGCAGCACTTACGCGACTGCAGTTTTATCTCTCGCGCAGAAGGTGTAGTTGAAAAACACTTGCGCGGCGCTTATGCGGCGAAATGGTTAAAGATGTTAAAGCACATGTTTGCAACCTTTTTCACCAAATATCGCAGGCTCTCAAGCAGTAGGTCTTTCGCAGAGCTTACGTGACATTACTTCTCAAGGACTCTTCCGCTCAATGCTTTCGCAAGCTTTCGCAATCCTCAGTTCTTCTTTCGCAAAGACTACGTTAGTTTCATAATTAGCCCTATTCATTCTTACTTGGGAGTTCTGGACGCTGCTCATATCATCTTCCGCCCTCCCACATGGACCTGTAGGGAGCTTCGTGTTTTTTTCGACGTGGCCGTTTCCACCGAGTCGTCTCACCTGAAGGTGACGTCTCCCGGCGATGGCCCGGACGAGGAAACAGCACTCCTCGAATTGCAAAAGGCAATGACGGCCAAAGAGTTCTGTGGCGGCTTGCATGAACTCCCTGATGACGTTGCCTCCAGAACCCACCAGTTCAGTCCAACATGGTCCGACCTGGATCTCTAAAATGGACTGTGATGACAGTGATGACTGTTTTAATGCAACATCTGCTTCGTGGCTCCCCTCCCGTCTGCCCATGTCTACATACCTCTTCTTCGCAACGCGGTGTGTTCCTTTAGCCTCTGTGCCATGCTTTGCACCTAAGCCTTCCCCACAAAGCAAGTCACAAAACAAGCGCCACAGAGAATAAAAACAAAAAGCCGCGCGAAAAAAGAATCGCGCACCTTCCCCATAGTAGGCGGAATTCACCACCGTCCCTGCAGCTGACTTCCGCGTCTGCCGCTCCACCTTCATCCCGGTGTAGAGCTCGCTGTCACGCACCGTGAGCTTGTCTGTGTTGCCCTCTGCGCCCGAGCACCCTGCGTCGATGATCAGCGGGATGGTGCGCTTGGGGTTGAAACCCGCACAGACCTCAGCGCTTGGTTTCACCGGCACCGGCACTTTCCGGAACCGGTCTGCGTCCGGGGCCGCAGAAGGAAAAAGAGACCCAGGCGAAGCCTGCTATGAGAGACACATCGGAAGGAGTCACGAGGCTTCAGTTGGACGCACGTGCTTCTTCGGGATGCGTTTTTTCCACCTGAGAAGGGGAGAAGATTCCGTTTGGTCACTTGCCAGGGGTGTTGGTGATCCAATGCATCACCTTCACCACCCGACCCACGACACTGGATGACCCCAGTTTAGAGGCCCGCCACGTCGCGTCGCCGAGGTATTCAGGGCAGCACACGAGGCTACTGCGTCCGCCCACCCGGTGGGCGACGCGGCATCGCCTCGCCAGCTCGCAGGACACCCCGGCTCATGCCGCCGCGGCACGGTGTACAGGTCCAGCTTTCCGATGGGGATCCCCATGCCCCAGGCGCCCAAGTCCCCCAGGCCCAAAATCCGTCCGCCGTCCGAGAAGACGATACAGTCCTCGGTGGGTCGCGGTCGGGGGGGGCGGGGGCAGCGCTGCCCAAGTGGCTGAAAGCGCCCCCTCGCCAGATGCGATGGGAAGTTGGGGAGGGCAGAGAGGGATTGTGTTTCTTTTTTCAGGTCAGGAACTGACCTCATAGGGCTGGAGTTGGTACAAAAAGGCTACTCGACAACTAAGGAGGTTTTCAGGACCAGGTTCTACTCAGACTGGACTTGCAGGGCCTTGATGGGCTTTAACTTTGCAAAAATCCTGTCGTAAGCAACTGGAAGAAATCTGGTGCAAGACTGGACGGACTCAAGCCGGCTACCTCGCCCATATCCCTCAGTGTGCTTGCTGCGAAAACCCTCTTTTGGTATCAGAAATCAACCATTGAAGTGCATATCACTCATATGACTCGCAAGCTCGGCTCTCATCAGTCAGGGACTAGAGTTCGGTCTCAAAAGGTGTCTACTTCGCAGAAAACGCAATTCGGGCCGCCCTGCAAGAATCCGATCTTGGGAACCGTTCTTCTAGAACTGTGAGAACCAACAGAGGTTGAATGACCCTATAGACTATCGACTATCCCAGTTCGGTACCCCAGGTGACGGGTTCTAGTTCAGGTCACTGGCTACCTCTGTTGGGAACCAACCATGTGGACTGATTTCCTAGCACCTTTGCTTTCACGCTCTTGATCTCGCCCACCGCACCAATTTTGGCAGAGCACCACATCCCCTCCTAAGGCAGGTTCTTTGTCAGTCTACTGGGGTGTACTGACGATCTCTGCATGATAAGCCAGCCAGCAACGTGCCAAAAGCTAGTATATAAACAAACGTTCACCCCTTTTTCAAAGGGATTTGGAGACCTTTTTCGCGAACTAAACCATGTGTACCGGTCTGTGTACCATCTCTACCTGTCTGAACCTCCAGCCCGGCGCAGCCGCCGTCCGCCGTCCGAGACGAGCGTCGCACAAGAACGATGCCTCGCCGGCGGGATCCTTCTCCAGCTCCGCCTCGGCGTACTCGCGGAGCACCTCCTTGAAGCGTCCCCGCTCCGAGATCCGCAGGTAGCACCCGCGGCTGTACCTCGACTGCAGGGAATTTCGCGGAGCAGCGATTCTCCACTCCGGGACCTGCCTGGGAAGCTGGAGCGACCAGGAGACGAAAGGGTCTATGTGCCAAGTGTGGGGCGCACAGTCAATCAGGGACAGGCAGTTAGAATATGCTACATGTATTTAAATGCAGATAGAATATGAAACATTTAAATACTGGATTTTTTTTGGCGGAGCGCAGTTAGAATATTTTCTTATGATTTGTGATGCTTTTTTTATGTTAGGCAAAGAATGCGGTTAGAATATGCCTTATGTGTACAGTAATTGATACTGTCTTGATATTTAAGGTGTAGGTAGTTATGCTTCATTGTTGATTTTGTTGATTTTGCATATTCTATCTGCACTCGTATTCTAAGTGCAAGCGCGCACCGCATCGGTGTCGGAGGTCTAAATTTAAATACCTAAATTGTTTGATGTTATATTCAATATTCTAACTGCCTGTCCCTGACTGTAACTCCTCAGAAAGCACTTGGCGTCGTCCCAAACGATAAAATCGAATCAACTCAAGCGGAGTTGAGATGCAATACATATGATGCCACCCGAGGCACAAGGGCATCTTGCCAAACTTTTGGCATGCCTCTCCCACCGTTGGCGTGTAGACGGCTGGCAGAAGCATCGAGGGTTTCGACGAGATGGTGGCATAGTAGAGATTGGGACTCCTGTCGTAGAGCTTACCTGGCAACAGCCGCACTTTTGGATGAATTTCCAAGCATGCATTGCATATATCGCTGAACAATGGCAAGCAGGTCCACCCGTGTGTGCGGGTGTGTCTGTGTGTGTGTGTGTTATCTTTTGTCCAAGGTGGTTTTGGAGTTTCAAGTTTAACCGTGGTGATCAATAGCAACTTAAGATGGACCTTACCATATATCCATGTGTAGATCCACCAGAATCATGACTACTAGAACAGGGACCAGTTCAAAGTTCTGGGCATTCCGAATCTTGCGAATCGCTACACGCCAATCCGTCTGCTCCATCCTTTTTTGGGGGGCGCCGGATGTGTCTGCATAGGAGTGGCCGTGCATCCCAGTGGCGCATGTAGGCATAGGTCCAGAGGTTGTGCTCCAATGACATCAGTGCACTAACCTCTTTTGGCCCAGGGGCGGGGGGCGAAAGGCGCATCGAGTCGCGTGGAAGGAAGGGGACCATGTCATCCGATCCAAGTCATGATTTCGCGCCAAGTCTGATGACCTTTGGACCTGTCCTTTAATGATGAGATCGACCTGATCGACCTGATCCATACTAAACCTATATATATATACCAGGCTTCCGACAGAGGGTCCAGCGGCTTGGTCCAGATGCCTGATACCTGATCGACCTGATCGCCGGGTCTGGTCCAGGCTTCCGACAGACACCGATCGGATCGGGATCCGCGTCCAGCCTCAGCCAGGGCCTCTTCCACAGAGGTCGCCTAGAGCAGGAAGGGACGGCCAGGGGCAGGGCGAGCGCCCTTAGTGGAGACTCTCCCTGGAACTAAGATGGAAGTGGAAGACCCCCTGTTTGTAGAGGAAACTGGTCTTCCAAGGAGCCGCTAGTTCCAGGGAGTGCACGTATCTTCTCAGATTCGAGCACTCCCCGGTTCCAAGTACTGGAAAAAGGTCCCAAGATCAATAGAAAGGATTGCACTCCCAACAGAGGTTAAGTGACCTGAACTAGGACCACTAGGACCCGTAACCTGGGGTACCTATAGAATAGCCGAACTAGGGTTCTTCAACCTCTGTTGGTCTGAAAGGATTGCACGCTTCAAGGGATGTGTCACGATTCGGTCCAATGGCCTCAGAGTGCCACGCCCACCTCCATCACGGGCTGCCCGTTTTCCTCGCCCTGACCTTGCCGCGAGCCACGCCTTGCACATGCCCTTCAACATCAGCGCCAGCTGCTTCACATCTGAGTGCTTCTCATTCCAAGCATCGATGCTACCCGCCTCTCAAAACCCCCACGACCCCCGGGGAGTGGGCGACGTCAGAATACTGCCAGGGTGGGGGAGAACGACTCCGAGACCGGATCCGGCTGGCCGAGGTCGGACGAAGGGTGGAGTTGGCCCCTAAGGCATGGACCCAAAACGCGCACGGCTCGAGCTCGAACTCTCCGCAGGAAGTCGAACCGCCTCTGCCACACCATGGGCATAGGACAAACTGCGCGGAGGGGCTGCCGGAAAAATCGAGGCCAAGAATTGGTTCAGAGTCAGCACCTGGCTGCAGAAGCACACGGCAGCCAACTGATGGACAACTCAAGACGTATTGGATTCATATGGGTACACAATCTCCAGTGCGGGGTGTTGATCCACATCATGCAGACTCTTGATTCACAAAACCGGATGGATCTTCGGGAACTCCGGGGGTCGGACTCAAAGACCAGGACGGAGTTCTGACCCATCTCATGGGTGACTTTGGGACCCATCCAGGGGCCGTGGATGTTCTGGGCATCTGTCCATTCAGATCCATCCCCAGCACCCCACGGACAGCCACGCCCCGCCTCCACGTCCCCCCAGCACCACGTCCCAGCCCTCCGCGCCTCGCCCGCAGCGACACCGTGCGCCTGTCGGAGCAAGTACGCAGCAGAGGCCTCGTCCACGCCGCAGCGCTGCAGAACCGTCTCCAACTCCTGACCTCGGGCGCGGCGTTCCGCGCGAGCCGCGAGACGCGCGAGGTCAGCTGGAGAAGCGCGAGAGGTCGGCTGGAGAAGCCTGAATGATAATCAACTGACACGCAACTATACCTTGAAAGCTAAACAGGTTTTAATATATTTAAGTGGGACCTGAACTGGTACCGCTACAAGGGACGGTTTTTTCAAAACCTCTCTGGGCAGCGAGGGGGGGGGTTCAGGTGCACTGCAAAATGAGAGTGATGGGTGGAGATGTTGGGATCACCGGGTGGCAGTTTCTCGAAGATCCGCAGCTAGATGGAGCTAGATGTTGCCAATGGTTTTTCTGACCTTGACCTTCACTTCTGTCCAGACGTCTTGCCCCTGCTTATCCTACTTCCTGCGGTTTCTTTGAAGCTCAACGTTCAGGCTCCAGTGCTGAAATCAGACCGCCCCCAACCTGCCACATGCTGTGCCCGGTTTAAACCAGGCCATGAACGCCATGGTCTGATGAGACCGGACCAGCAGCCATCTTCAGAAATCATCCACCCTTCCCTAAACAAGCAGGGCAGCAGGGCCTCAATAGGACCGCCCTCGACCGAAAAGAACAGATACCAAGAGGCTCCGAATGCCCCTGTCACATCCACTCACTGATACTAATAGAGACGAAAACCCTCCAACTCCATGTGAACACCTGGTAGACTAGACTAGACTTGATTTGATGAAGGAAAAAATGGGAAAAAGGCCCTGGACATCGAACCGTCGACAACCATCGCGCGAACATCGTCCAACCGCGGTCCAGGCTGCATCGGATGGAGTCGCCGACCGTTTGCAAGAAGGCCTCTCGGACGCCCTGCATGACGATGCACAGCGAGCGCCGCTGAGCCCAAAGCAGCTGGCAGACGGACTGAGCTGTGGCAACCGCCCTGTGAGGTTCAGTGACCTGAACTAGGGCCTTACTGAGGTACCGATGGGATAGTCGAACTAGGGGATTCTTCAACCTCTGTTGGTTGGAAAGCCGGTCAAACAGCAGCTCTTAGCGACTTGGAAGACCATTGGTTCTGGCTGAAAGCCACCTGGAGAAGTCTGAAAGCCACCGGGCAGCCACCACTGTGCCATGAGGCGACCGGATGCACGCACTTCCTCCCCGCGGTCCCGGTGGATGAATGTTTTTCTTCCAAGTTTCTATGCATGGGAGTGCACACACGTGCGAGAGGCACTTGGGACATATGAATTGTGAAAAGGATTGAGAAGGTCCCTTTGGAAGCTTCCGGGAGAAACTCATTGACCCTTGCGATGGCAAGTTTTTACCCCTGTTTTTACCCCTGCAGGCCATGGATATATGGGTAACACCTCACGAACTGTGCAAAACATGTGCCAAAACCCTTCAAGAGCCTCACTGCTCCTCCCCCGGATGACGCTTCCGGAACCACCCAGCCGGCCGCGGGCCCCCGGGCGACTCGCGCATGACTCGCACTTCGAGGGCGTACAGGGTGGGCACATCGAGGATGCACACCTGCCGCAGCGGATGTTTTGGGGCGTTGAGTCGAGACGAACGAGATACGGCTTGTCATGGGCGGCTTTCATGCGCGTTTGGCCTGGTGGAAGATTCTGGGTGGGTCTTGAGGAGGGAAGTGTTAGAATGCTAAGTGAATGCCGATTTCCCTCCAGGATGAAGGCAGAGTTGACCCGGGGAGTGAGATGTATCGGGCAAGTGTTCGGGCTGGGCATGGTGTCGGACAGTCGGACATGGACTTGGTCGGAACACGTCAAGATGAAAACGGCATGGTTCCTGCACTGGGATTTTGCGAGCGTCCCTGTATCAGATCACATTGATTCTTCAACACGGACCATCTCTTCAGCCAATCCCCCCCCCAAAAAAAGAAAAACAACCATGTTTGGGAGTCCCAAGTGTCACAGCGTCAGCGTCAGCGGTGATGCCTGCTCCGCTCCCTGGCTTGGTTTCTCCCCCAGCTCAGCTGGAGCAGTGGAAGCACCGGCACCCGACGAACGACCCTCCGGACTCCAGACTCCACGGCATGCTCGCTGGACCCACCGGACTCACCTCCAGGGCGCCCTCGAAGAAGTGGTCAATGCTCTCCTCCAGGTCCGCAGAGGTCCGCAGAGGTCGCGCGCGAGTGGTGCCCGAGGGTCGAAGTTGGTGCGGCCGAAGACATGGAGAAACGAGGCCCAAGCATGATCCCGGCTGCGATCATGAAAGCATGGGAGAGCTTGTGCCAGGGCACTTGGTCTGCTCGAAAATGAGAGTAAGTGGGAAAAAGTCCCACCCGGCAGCTGCACCATATCGATTTTGGCCCGTTGGTCTTCACCATCTTCACCCCCGGTTCGGCCGGCCGAGAGTTAGAGTCCTCCAGGATAGATGCCCGGATCTCGGTTCCAAATGGCAGAGCTTGGACACTTAAAGCAATGGGTAGGAGGCCGTTCGATCTTCACACAAGGCCTTTTATAGATTCATAGCGTCCACAAAATCGAAAGTGCAAGGCTCAGAGAAGAGGTACTCATTATGCTCATTTAGAATGGGTTGGTCTGTAGGACAAGACCCCCCCAAAAGAAAATCCTCAGTGTCCAGACAGCAACCTCCAATACCATAACCCCTGAAAATCATTGCACAGACGAGAGAGAGAGAGAGAGAGCGCACGCGCGCATTATCGAGATTGAATTCATGGACCTTGAGGTTGGGCAGACTATTCTATAAAATATAGGTCAGGGAAAAATTGTTGTTTTTGCATGTTTTTGCAGGCTCACTCTAATTTCTCATATTTCTCCAAGCTGTGGGTCAAAAGATGTCCGCTCTCATCCGCTCTCGGATTCTTATTTTTCCTTTTGCGCTATTGTGACGCCCATCAGCGCCCTAACAACCCGTGGAAGCGCGCTAGAGAATAACCCTCCCAACCACGTTGCTCTAAAGAATCTGCCAATTGACTTCCATAAAACGGCAGGGTCTTGCAGCCATAGCTCAAAACTGTTCCTGTGAATTGTACGCCGTACAATGGTTTTCAGACCATGCTTTGACGGTAGCTTTTGGCCACTGGCTGCTGCCGTTATGGTTCTGGCCTCCCTGCGCCAATGCAGGGGCCCCTTGAGACCTCACACGTGCTACGCACATGCTAGAAAAGACGTTGACACGTTTTCGATTCCATCTCGACACTTTGTGCGGTCGCGATTCCAACACGTGTTCCCACATCCGTGTTTTCATATTGGTAGCGGAGCCTCCTCACAGGAGGGGGCTCCAGCATCGCAATGGCTTCGTCGCCGTCCCGCCGCGGAACCTCACGCGACGCGAATGGCGGCAGCTCCTCCGCGAATGCTGGCAAGATCTGAAGGACAACTTCGTGCCCCGCTTCGACAACACGACCACGACCTATGCTGAATGGCGGAGGCGAGTGACCTTGTACGCCCGGAAGCTTGAGCTTCAAGGGCGGAAGAGCGAAATCGCCCTCAACGTCCTCTCAGTCCTTGAAGGTCCATCCTGGACCCAGTGTGAAGATCTGGATCTTCACGAGCTGGAGAAAGAATCTGGCCTCGACATCCTTCTCAAGCGCCTGGACCGCCAATGGGCGTATGACGCCAAGGTCGAAATGCCGACCCACTTCGAGCAGTTCTTCTTCAAGCTGCGGCGCAAGAAGGACCAGTCGATCCTGGAGTACACCACCGAGTTCCACCAGACCCTCAGACAGGTCTCGAAGCACAAGATCGATCTTCCTGAGGAGATCACCGGCTGGATGATGTTGAAGAGAGCCGGACTGACTAAGGAACAAGAGCAGCTCATCCAGACCAACATCGGCTCGACCCTCACGCTTCCAGCTGTCGAGCAGGCTCTCTACTTGATCCTCGGCCAAGATCATCGCCATGTTCACCTTCCTGCTCACCTGAGGAAGCCACAGCTCCCCGGCCGATGGAAGAGACAGAGCCAAGTCTTCTGGGAGGAGGACTACGAGCTGGATGAGAACTATGAGGATGACGAGACCTACTTCCAGGATGCCATCGACCCCGACGACTTCCAGGAGACCATGGGAGAATGGGATGACCCAGAGCCCGATGACACCTTCTACTACGATGAAGCTCAAGAAGAGCTGGACTCCATGTTTGACACTCAGGAGTTCGATGACATCTACAGCACCTACGTTGACGCCAAGAACCGCCTCAACCAGCTCAGACAAAGCCGTGGCTTCTATCCCGTCGTGGCTGTGGTTGATGGCGGGAAGGGTCAAGCACCTCTGATGGCCCAAGGTTCCGGCAAAGGCAAATCCAAGAGCCCTGGTAAGTCAAAGAGCTCTTCCAAAGGAAAAGGCTCGAAGTCTGGAAAAGGGCCCAGCGGCAAGCAGAGAGCTCGCTCAGCCTTGGTACGCCTTCGCTGCGGAAAACCTGGACACTTCGCAGCAAACTGTCCGACGACAGGTGCACAGTCGAGCTCACCAAAGAAGCGACCTGCAGATGACGACACAATGGTCAATTTGGTCCTCAGCATTGAAGAGTTCTATGATGCTGAGGAGGGCTACGACTATGAGAATGGGATCTTCTATGACCCTGAAGAGGCCTACGCCCAAGGGGAAGCTCTGGTCCGTGCCGGCGGCTGGCTCACGCCGGATCCTGACGCTTGCATCCAGGACCAAGGAGCATCATCATTCCTGGCTGGCAGTGAATACATCCTGCGCTACCTCAAGAGGCTGGAAATCCTCGGCTACCCCATGGACAAGTTGAACTTCAAGCAGTGTGACAAGTCCTTCCGCTTCGGTGGCGATGCTACAGGACAGTCAAAATGGATGATCGAGCTACCAACACGTCTGGCTGACGTTGGCGGCAAGATGCAAGCCTATGTGATCTATGGTGCCACTCCCATGTTGTTTGGCCGACCCTTGCTTGAAGCTCTCCATGCCGAGATTGACTTTGGCCGCTCTCGGATGCGCATGCTTGACCAGGAGACCTGGCGGGAGATCCCGCGTGGCCGTCAGGGAGCAATGCTGCTTCGCCTCGCTGAAGGGGTGACACGCCCTGAGGACTTCTTCCCCGAGACCTTCGATCTTCGATGTGAAGATGATCACAACAATGGCCTCAAGCTGAATGACTTCTTGGACGACCTCAACGCCCATGAGCGCTTCTTTGAGATGACCACTGAAGTGCACGCATACTTCCAGGCGTGTGAAAAGGGTGAAAATGATGAGACAACCTACATGGAGGTCGACCAGGAGAACATGACCGACCTACTACCTGGTGAAACAAGCAAAACGATTGAACAGTTGGAAAAGACCCTCACCATGTTCGAGCACCAGTTAGCTGAACACCAGAAGACACTTCATCAAGAAGTACATCATGCCCGGGAACATGGCCTTTCCCACCGCAAGCGGCTGATCTGGGAAGTCTATGCTGGAGAAGGCCGCATCACTCAACTTCTGCAAGCTCACGGTGATGTGGAGGTGATGCGCTTCGGATTCGAAGATGGATGGGACTTCAACAGAGCCGCACATCGAAAAGCTCTACTACGCTTGTGCGACGAACTTGAGCCTGATGAGATCTACATGTCCCCCAGTTGCACTCTCTGGTCGAGGATGCAGCAGATCAATGTGCACAATGAGGCTCAAGCTGAAGATCTTCAAGAACGCCGTGAAGTGGACCGGCGAACCCATCTGACTATGTGCAAGAAGCTGTATTACAAGCAGGTGAGAAGAGGAGACCACGCCCACATCGAGCACCCTCACCTGAGTCTGGCTTGGGAAACGCCTCAACTCCGACATCTTCCCGGACATCAAGCTGTCTTCGACCAATGCGCCTACGGAGCAGTTGCCGAAGCCGATGACGGCTCACTCCTGCCCATCAAGAAGACCACCAAACTGCAGACGA